AAAACTCCATTTCAGTTCCTGTTCCTGAGTCACCTTCCTCCTATTAACAATAAACTCTAAGTCCATGTTTTCCATGCAGATGAACCACGCTGATACGGGGTAGCTGTGTTGGCTACCCAGTTTCAAATATAAGACAACGTAATTTTGAATTGCTCCTCCTTGGACTTTCAATAAGCTTCCTTTTGAAATTTGACAAAAATATTTCCATCTATCACCTTTAATAGCTGATAAAATCAAAGAGGACAGGGACTCTTTTATATTTATTTGGAATAGTATGTTGTACTGAGTGTGTCCAAAGAGGAAAAAAAAACCAAATGAATTTACAAGGTAGGAACACTGGAAATTCTAGGTGTGAAATACCTAGCATTCTACATAATTCTACATAATTTTAAAATCACGCCAGAGCAAGAGCCACTCACTACATTAGCACAGTCGTTCTCATGTTAGGTACAAATGAACAAGCCAGGGAAGAAATTATGGTCACAGATGTCATCTAATTCCCAGAGCTCATGATTCAGCAAGTCAAGAGTGGGCCCAGGCAACTGGAATTTTAATACACACACAGGACTGTATTTTGAGAAGCACTAATTTGGTATTACCTTTGACACTAGAGAGTACATATATGGTGGTGGTAAATGAAAAGAGACTGAAATAAAATACATTGATTTCAGCACAGCAAAATCTCCAGTTTCTTAATGCTTTCTATAACTCACAAAGCACAAAGTAAAAAGAGTCGGCCACTACAGGGTAAAACAGGGTGGTCAGTACAACTTGTTTGGTTGTTAAATTCTCCAGTGCCATATATAAGCTGCGTAAACAATGACTTACATTTTCCTTCTTCGTTTCTGCAGAGAACCTTTGTATCATCTGTGTTTTGTATAACTTCAAGAGATTCACCAGGTTTTATCTGTAGATCTCTGGTCCCCCACTTTTTAGAAGTTAAGGAGGCTGCAACTTTGGTTGAATAGAGGACTCTAATTTCACCATCGTACTAGAAAAAGAAAGCAGAACATTTAAATTATTGGTTGATGTGTATTATTATTACAGTAACTCATTTATTTACAGATTTATTATTAAAGTCTTTGCTAAATAGTTCAATGTTTTCAAAAGATAAGTAAGAATATTTAAGAAAATTTCTGGGGGAAAACCACTCATAACCTCACAAATCTAATCTAAGAACTATGTTATTACCTTCTTATCAAGGTTCAAAGGACAACTAAATTTAGATGATTATCACAGTATGTATTTTGTGCATGTATTATAGCTTGCTTAATCTCTTAAAAGAATAAATTTAAATGTAAAACAAATTTTGTATAAAATAAAGGAGTTATGATGGCTAACTGTAATATTGATTATTATACTTTTAAAGTGTGCATTTTGGAACTTAAAAATCATGGGTTTTTTCATTAGTGCTTTGAACTTTGTTTAATATTTAAATATGACATACTTTAAATTTTTTCCTGAAGTCTTTTTCTTCTTTTTCTTGCTTTTTTAGCTTCTTAGGGTCTTTTTCTTCTGTCTTAGCCTTTCCAATATTGATTCCTTGACTAGAATGGCAGAACACACATAAAAACAACACTTCGTTTAGAAAATATAAAAAAAATAGTGTATAAGAGAGATTTAATACATAATATTAAATTTTTGCTAAATTTTGTTTTCCATTAATTCTTTTTCTTAGAAATCCAATACTACTTACTGTAATAAATGATGATGTTTCATAATGCATAAAGGAATCTTCAAGAGAATACAGATTGTGAGAGTTAGAATGGAAGTGAGAGATTCTCTATTTTACTGAGTCATATAAAATCACTGAGTTATAATTTAAACTGGGTTGCATATCAGTGGTTTTATATGATTCAATCTATTCTTCAATCCCTCTATATTTTCAGCCCTTCCTAGATAATTAAATGGCTTAACCACTGTCATAGAAAAGGCTTTTTTAAAAAGAACACTTTTTAAAAACTGATTTTTATGGCTCTACAAAGTTTATGTGCTAATTTTTTTACATCTTCTTAAAATGGAGCCAGAGTATAGGTTAATGAAAAAATTTTAGGCAAAAGTTTAGATTTTAGATAGTCTAAGAAGGAGCTTCTTTAAAGAGGATGGCTAATAGTCAATCTTTATCTTGATCATTTTATCAATTGTCCTTTTGTGGGTGTGTATATCAGTGAGAGAGAGAGCGTGAGAGAGAAAGAGAAACATATCCTAAGAATTTTGATCAATTAATGGACTTAATATTTTTTTTAAAAACCCTAGAATCTAGGTATAGAAATTCACTATATCTCATAGATACTAACCAGACTGAAGTCAATAGCCATATTATAGGAGAATAAGCCTAAGAACTGACTTTCTAACATGGATACACATGGGATTACCTGGGAAGCTTTCAAAACATGCCATGCCCTTGCCCGATTCCTGGAAATTCTAATTTAATTTAAATTAATTTAAAGTTCTATTTTAATCTGAGTGGGGTCCGGGTACTAACACACATATTTTAAAGGCTCCTAGGTGATATTAATTTTAACCAAGGTTGAAAACTATTTACTAGGGTTAAGTATGGATGTTAGGGAAGGGCTGTGAATCTCTTCGGAAGGGAATTTTAAAATTAGGATATGTGTGAATCATGAAACATTTTGCACACTGATAATTTTTATTTAGATTATTTAAGATAAAGTTTTGTTTGTAACCAATTTATTTAAAAAGTTAGATTCTTAATTTTTAAATCTTAGCATTTAGCTGGTTCACTGTGAGAAGAACTGGCACAGTGTCCTGTCTGAGGATCTGCATCTGCTTCCGGAACCTCCCGCCTATGGTAGTCTGGACACTTCTGAAATCATTGCCCCATGTTAGCTCTCTGAGGCTATCAGAACATACATGAAAGTTAAAAATGTCCTACAAACTATCTTTGAAAATAATTTATTGAAATTTATTTAAAAAGAATGCCATGTTAGAGAACATAAACTTGTTTTAAACTCTGAAAATAAGAAATCGGGAAGAAAACTGTCCATATGAAATAAAGTTTCAGCTGCTGGGGTTTATTTTGCTTGAAGAAAGGGCCAGTGTGTGGCTCTGGATTTCTAGGGAGCTACTTTATGGAATATGGTGACATTTCTACAGTAATATAAAACGAAAAAATGCATTAGAAACTGTCAAGGATTGAAACACCAATGGTGAGAAATATTAAAATTTGAACATATTACTAAGATTAGATTTTTGTTTCATGGAGAATTGAAAGAGGAGAATGATTCTCTTTTCATCTTTCTTATTTGTTTTGCCTGTGGAACTTGATCTTCATCTTTGAATGACAGCTTATTTTCCCTTCAGATTCTTTGATCTTGATAGTCTTGCTAGTTCAATAAAATGAGTTTAACAACGTGAGTGAAAAATAAATACTTGGAGTTCACTCATGCATTTTTACCAGTACAGCTCAGAAGACACCACTCATTGTATTCCATTTATGTTACTTTCATCCTTTAACTTATCAAATCCAAGACCTTTTTATTCATCTTTCTTTTTTCTTGAAAAATCTAGGGAAGTGTTTTTGCTTTTGTACACAGTATGTATCAGACCACATCACACATTTACTGGTGTATAAGAAGGCATCTTACCACGCTATTTTCTATTTCAAAAGAATTTTCAGTAGTGTCTCCTTTTGTAATAACTGATCTAAACAGATTTTCATACAATTTTAGCTTAAAATTAAATTGAAACTTTAGGTAAGCTGAAGAATGTCATTATTCACTGTTGATTTTTTTTTTTTTAATTTGAATGGAACCTTTGAGATTCTGATGCTTTTATGAAAAAGAGACATACCTAAAAGCCCTTTTAAAAAACATTCTTTTTTTTTTCCCCTAAAAGAGAACATCTTGTGGAGGACAGAGGTGGTTTGAACAAGATGAGTGAGGGCTGAGATGTAAGCTTAGAAGTATATTCAAGACAAAAAGGTTTGGGGAAAATAGCAAAAGTAAAGGGAGCAGATGACTCAGTGAGATCAGTTGTGATCAGGATGTCAAATATATTTTCCCAGTGGATGAATGAATAAATGAACGCACACATTGGTGAGTCACAGGGCAGAGGCTGATCAGGAGACAAGGAGCAGATCGGGGGAGGAGGGAGGAGAAGGGGGAGGAGGGAGGAGAAGGGGGAGGAGGGGGGAGGGTTTAGGGGAAAGGTAGGAGGATTAGCGCTGTCCACTCACAAACCCAGCAGAGCGGTTAGAGCTGGGATCAGAAAGAAACACAGCTTTAGAGAGGACAGAGCAAACACAATTGCACACAGTAGACACGCCCCCCTATGCATTTTCATTTCAGTTGAATTTTCATGGCAGTCTAATTTTCATTACTTCATTGTAATTAAAGCATTTTAATTACCTCATCTCTGCTGGCGGAGCAGGGAAATCAGAGGTATCCACATCATCGTAAACTTCATCTCCCATGACTAACGAAAGACAGAATATCAATGGTTGAAATATTGTTAGTTTAAATTTTGATATGAGCATTCAAGAATTTTCTTTTGTTTGATATGTATATATATATTTTTTGAGAGAGAGTCTTGCTCTGTCATTCTGGCTAGAGTGCAGTGGCATGATCATAAATCACTGCAACCTCAAACTCCTGGGCTCAGGCGATCCTCCTGCCTCAGCCTCCCGAATAGCTGGGACCACAGGTGCGTGTTACCATGCTCGGTTAATTTTTCTACTTTTTATACAGACAGGGTCTCATTCTTGCCCAAGCTGGTCTCGAACTCCTGAGCTCAAGCAATTCTCCCACCTTGGCCTCCCGGAGTGCTAGGATTATAGGCGTGAGCCACTGCTCCATCAATGAAGTTTTCAATATAAAGATTGCTTCAGGGGGAATAAAAGAAATTTTCTTGGTTTCTGGGTACATTTCTCCTGAAAGCACTGTCTGTTCCTTAAAGGGGTGAGGTTCTTATCTTCCTGGATGAGTCTGTTAAATTTTCCTCAAAAAACCAGTGACCATAACTGTAACTATAATTATCTGGAAGGAAAAAAAAAAAAACCGTGGAACAGTGACTGTGATTATTGGAACACAAGTGTGACGAATGGAAGGAGTAGCAAATTGCTGACAAACAAATCAATATTACTGGCCATGGTCAGGACGAAGTGGAGATTGAAATCAAGATTCTTATGGGATTTCGGGTGCTTTGGTAATGTGTATCATTTTATTTAAATGTCCCTTCCTCCATCTATCCCTCCCTTCCTTCCTTCTCTCGCTGATCTGTTCCTCATTAACATTTACTTTGCAGTGATAGGAGAAGTGGCATCACCTTCAAATGGAAAGAATATTTCTCTTAATAAGATACTTCTGATACCAGCAGGTGTTGAGTAACTGTATTGGCAGAAAAGCTGCCATGACCTTGATTGGGTTCAATGGCTTTTCCAATCTGTAGATATTTTTCTTCCTTCTAGATGTCTTGTTAATAAAGTCAGGAAGAATGTTTCCTCTCTGCACCTGTTCAGTGGCTCCACAGCAAATTAAGCTGAAGATATGAACTGAAGAAATTGTAAATATTTTAAGGAATGATTACCGTAAAAAGATGAAATGCTCTCTGGTAGGGCAAGGAATTGATTTCCTTTAAATGTTTCTCTCTCTC